CTTAAGAATAACTTGACTCACTCCGGTAATTCTCCTCCCTGGGGTCAGGAACTTGCTTTGCCAGAGGAAACAGTGGATGTTGGCTTCAGCAGTGGCCCACCCCTTGCCCACCATTCCCTCTCCCGATGGGGGAGACCTCTCCCCACCCCCATGATGAGGCCTGTGAAAGTCACAAACTGTGAAGGTCCAAACAACAAGGATGCTGAGACCTAACTCATCACCTCCTTCATGTGAGGTTTAAGGATTTGTTTTTGGAACCCCAGCAGAAGGAAGTTCTTGAAGATTTGGTATAGAGAAACCATTCTGGGCCTGGCTTTCCAAAGTTTAATTAGCAGCTGGGGGAGGAGGACTGGGCTGCAGAGAGAGAGGCAGCGCCAGTCAGGAGTGGGCCCTGGAATTCCAGGCGGGAGGTTTGTTTATGGCTGCAATGTAGGTCGTGTCAGAGGCTGGGGACAGAAGCCTGGGAGCCAGACACAGCTCAAGGGTGGTCTGGATGCTCTTGAGATAAGGCCAACTAAGGGCTGTGAGCTCACTGGAGCTCACAAAGGAACTCACAGTGGCTCCCTAGCAACCGCGCCTCCCTGTCCCCTCAGTCCAGTAAATTTGGTGCTCATCTTTGTAGAGTTTTGGAATGTGCTGGTAAGAATGCTGATGCCTCAGGTTCTTGTGCTGGCCCAGTCTCCTTAGGCTTGTTTGCTCTGCCTCCTCCCCGTGCCTGAGACAGGGCTGTGGATGAAGAAGTGAGCAGAAGCGAAAGTCCCACAGTGTGACTGTAGCAAGTTACCTTCTTTGAGCCTCAGTGTTCCCATCTGTAGAATGGGGATATCATTCTTTCTTTTCCTAATAACCAAATAAGGGCTCTTGTAATAATTTACCTAGAAAAAATGTAATTTCAAGGGACTAGAACTTTCAGACATATCACTTTTGTGCATACATCAGAGTGGAAATATAGGGATAGACATTGCCTAAGGTATCTCTGAGGCAATAACTTCATCACAACCGCCATGGTGATTGTACCTCTAATTTCAGATATTAAAATGTGAAAAAAAAAATACCCACCACCTTCCTTAAGAAATAGAACAATTACCAACAGCACTGAAAGCCTGGTGCTCACCAACTTGATCTCTTAACTTTCCACCCTAGAGGAAACTATTGTGCTGAATTTTGTGTGTTTACTATTTTTGTCTACATTTAGCAAACATGTATCCTATGCAGTGTATTGTTTGGTCTTGTTTTTGAGCTGTTCTCTAGGGGGAATGATACCCTATTCTGACTTGTTTTTAAAAATGTTACGAGACGTTTATCTGTGCTCATGTGTGTAGCTGCCATTCAGTTTTCACTATGGAATATCCCACTCTTTTCCTCTCTTACTGTATTATCAATGCTAGTGTGAGAAATTTGGGCTGTTTCTAGTGTTTTGCTATTCCATTATTTTTGCTGGAAGCATTCTCACAGCTGTCTCCTAGATGTGTTTCTCCAAGGTGTATACCTAAGAATGGAGCTGCTACGTCTAGACAAGAGTCCTCCTGGTTCCAATTGCCAGCAAATGCTGCCACTCCCCCCTCCCTTCCCTGAACAGCCTGAGGGGATGTAAGTCCTGTGTTTGCTCTGTCTGTGAACCTTCGGGAAGAACAAACATTTATGAGGGATAGGGAGATGGCGGTGGTAGAGCTCCCCAGGCCTTGGACCTGGGGAACAAGGTCAGAAGGAGTCGAGGCAAGATGGGGCCCTCCTATTGGCTCTGCTGAGTACGGGGGAGGTTGGGCTGCTCGTGCCTGGACATGAGGGTCTCAGGCTGCAGCACAGAATCCACTGTGAGGTCACTGCTGGGCTACAGGTTCTAGACATTCAGACAGAATACAGCATGCCGTTATCAGATTGTACCGCTCTTTATTGAAACTGCAGTCAGGAAAGCTGGAATAGGCTCTCCAGGGATGCTTCCCTGAGCCCTGGTCTCTTCTGCAGCTCCCAGCTCTGGGTCATAGTACTAGGCTTCAAAGGTCACGGTCTCCATGGTCTCAGATGTCACACTATCAACCATCTGTAGCCCCTGGCCACTCGGTGCTATCTCTACGATGGCCTCCGTGCTGGTTTTCTCCATTGTCTCAGTCAAGATGTCCACATCCTTATTGTGTGGTGGGGCCACTGGTTTTGTAGTAGTAAGATTGGCTTTGATGTTCCTCAAGAAAGAGCTGATCCTGTTGAGCTTCTTGGGTGTGGAACATGAACTTGTTGTAGAGCTCCTCCCCAATTTGTGAGAGGCCCTGGACTCCTTGGTGATGGGGGCATGGCTGATGCCTTTGTGCGTGGTGACACGCCTGCCGCCCCCTGGGCTGCTGTGGCCTTTCTCCATTTTGTCATCTCCCTGTCTGGCTAAGGACCGGCCAGGTGGGTTTGGGACTATCTTGTCCCCCTCTGCCTTGTGTTGGCTTCCAGTTGTCCTGCGCTGATGGGAACTCCTGAGAGTTCTCTCCTTTTCCCTCCGCTCCCTCATGTCCCTTCTGCTCTTGCGAGCTTCTGCCCTGGCTGGGGACACTCGCTGCCGCCTTCTAGCCTGTTCACTAACACGGCCTTCCCTGGGCAAGGTGGAGATGTGAGGTCCTGCGGCTGCACCATCAGCTATTTCTCCCACAGTCTTGCTGGTAGGTTCTGCTTTTGCAGTTGCAGCGACCATGCTGGCCTCTGGAGAGAGGCTAGTGCTGGAAGGACACCCTGAGGACTTGTTTGCAGCACCTGCCAAGGCCATTTTAGTGCTCTTCAAGGACATGTTGGCAGCGCCCGCAATGGCTATGCTGGTTTTACTTCCTCGTGGACCCTTGGTAGCTGCCCCTGCTATGGCCACGCTTAGCTGTTCAGGGGCAGCACACTCGGCTGTTGCCACACTCAAAGCGCCTGCTGCCACCCCTGCTGCTGACACTTTGTCAAGCTCTGTAGGTTTTGTGTGTGGGGTGGCTGCATCGGGTATGGCAGTGGGTTTGGGGGAGTCGTATAGGGTCCTCTCCCCACCAGCAAAAGCTGCAGAGGTGGCCCCAGCCACCTCAGAGATCACGTAGAGGCTTCTGATGCTCACCTGGTCCTGACCCTCTTCCCCCTGGAAATCGGCTGCTGATGGACAACTCCCGTCCTCTTCCTCAAACACAGGCATGCTTGTCATGTCCTCGGCAGGAGTGGCGTAGGTACCGCTGTTAACTTCCAGGGGTGGTCGCAGAAGGTAAATGACATTTTCCCAATAGGCAAAGAGGTCTTCCTGCTCATCCAGAGGGGGACACAGCTGCAGGTAGCAGGAACGGCCAGTGGCAAACCTCAGACGCAGCTGTTGCTTCTCATGGTCGTGAATGGAGATCCGCACGAACTTCAAGGGAAGGAGCCTGGTGAGTTCTAAGGTCTTCGCAGCCTTGCGGCGTTTCCTCTTGGTGACCTGGCCACGCCCAGCACGCTTTTCACCGCCGGCAGCCGGTCGGGCCAGCAGCATGACATCTGGTAGTGGGAGGATGGGGCTGGTGGACGCGATGCCCACGGTCACCGCGCCGGCGCGGTTGTGCACATCCATCACTTCTCCCTTTCTGGTGATCTGGATAAAGTCGCTCTCAAATATAGGTGCGTACTTGAAGATGTCATATTCTCCCTTGTACAGCTGTCGCTGTAGTTTCCCCATGGTGGTATTGAACATGCTCACACCGGAGCTGCTCTGGGACGTGTAATACGGTAACAGAGACACACTGTTGTTCATGGCTGCGTTTTTATCATGACAAACAGTGCTGGCAAGGCGGGTCCCTGGGTCTTCTCTTTCTTGGCCGCGTTGTCAGAAGAGGGAGCAGCAGTGCTCCTGTGTCACACAGATGGCTCTGTGGCTGGTCTCTCAACCCCACCCCACCCCACGGGCAATCCCTTTGACTCACAGCATCCCAGAGCCGGGGTGGGGATGGGGGCACAGGTGATTGCCGTGATATGCTGGAGGGAGCCTGGACCCCAGACTGAACCTCTTCAAGGATGTAGAGATTGCAGAGTGAGCTCCCCTTCTGCCTCACCTCACCTCTGCCTCTGATTTTTTATTTCCCTGAGAGGCTGTGAACTCCACTCTCTCAGCCTAAACCCCCTGCACAGCCATATTTATCCTCTGCTGCCCTTTGTGACCTGTTACTGTGACACAGCCCTTTGTTCTCATCCCCCAGCTGCCCCCTCAGTTTAGGGTCACCATCATCCCCTGAAACACCCCCACTGTCCCCACAGAGGACAGGCCCACCCTGCCAGGGACTCAAGTGGGTACCACAATAAAAAGTGGACACAGTCTATAGGAACATAAGATGATGGGATAAATTTGAACCATTTGAGCTTATGGTTTACGTTTCTCAAATAACCTAGAGTTGACAGTCTTGGTCCCCTAGCCCGTCCTTTTATAAAATCTCAGTAAATGTTGACGTTAGTGACCTTTAATGATAACATTAAAAATCGCTTCCTCTAGATACTATGCTACGTTCTTCACACAGGATCATAAGAATCCATTGAGTATGGTATGTTGCTACCATCCTCGTTTTACAGGTGAAGAAATTGAGGTTGTATCACTTCCCTAAATTCACAAAACCAATGTGATAGAGGCAGGATTTGAAGGCAGGTCTAGCTGATTCCAAAGGTTTTGTTCTGAACCACTGCAGTACATTGCCTCACACAGAATGCTCAGGCCAACCAAATGTTTTCAAACTGGACGGATTTAACTACCTTCATCCAGAAGACCCATTTTGTGCATCATCAAAAGTTGCATAATGAATTCTATGTGTGCATGTATGTTATGGAGAGAACCCAAGACAGTGGATGGCCCAAGTTGGGAATTCAATGATCTAGGGACCAACCTCAGTTCCCCTTCCCCATTACACTTGTGCAAATGGTTTGTGTGTGGAAACCTAGTTATTCTCTCTTAACACCCCAGTGAAATGGTGGTGGTGGGGCAACCTGAGATGGAAGCTTCCATTCCAGGCATTAGTCCTCAACTGGCCCTTTATGTCTTGATGTGAATTCCTTCCCGGGAGCAGTTTTTGATAAGACAGAAAGAAGCTTCTGGGATTAGAGAAGATAGAAGGGTTTGTTAATGGGCAAATCTGGCCTCCACTGAGGTTTTACCTCGGGCAGATCCACAAAAACACTGTTCACTCCACAGAGAAACTGCTTGAATACAACCAAACAGTATGGCGTGGGATGGGGAAGAAATAAGACGGCTTGGTTTCAGTTTGGGTTTGTTCAAAGCCCATGGGGAGAAATTAGGATAAAGATGGGAAATACTCAGCATTTTAGCTCTTGGCAGGAAGGGCAAGTTTCAGTTCCATAACCCCTCTCCTGGGCCAGAACCATTTGAAGCTCTTTACGCTGAAACAGGTGTCAGGCCAGATCTCAGGGAAAGGTGGTGGGGACAGGATGAGGACAGGAGAGAGGAGGGAGGGTGAGCCTCCCATACCTTGTCAGTGTGACATAACCACAGAGGCAGCCCAATGAAGACATTGATTGTCAGCCTTCGTGCCTGATTCTGGCTGAGGTCCCATCCAAGTTTATCCTCCCAGACACCCCGAACCTTCCCTCTCCGTCGAATGTAAAACAAGATGAACTAAACGACTTGAGGGTAAGTACATATTCATCCTTTTTTTTTTATTATTAAAGTATTAAAACATAAACTTGACTACAGAAAACAGAACTATTTTTAATGCATTTGTTTAAAGAACTTACAGTCCCATTAACCACGTACAGTGCATTTCTCAGATCAATTTTTCTTGCCATAGCCACCAACCCCTTCTTCCTTCCGCTCCAATCCATTGTCGTCTACGGCAGCTTAACAATTGTTGGCACCTATGCGCACAACCAGAGGTTAAATGCAAGGAGTTTTTTCCTCTTCCATCAGGATAAGGAAAAGATGATCTCCTTAAGGAAGGGGTGAATGGTACTTCCACCAGATGGCTCTTTACAGATTAGGAACTACCCCTGATATGCAATTAAAGCAGCAAAATTAGGACACCTGTGTCACAGGTGATAGTTTAAAGGAACTGTACACAAGTTCAAAGGAGCAGGCACCATTCGTGTGCACAAATCTTAATATTTAATGAAGCCACCATCTCTCTGAAGAACAGCATTGGTATAGCAGGGGAGCCAGTTTTTATTTCTAGCCTGTGAGTGTTAGATATGTGTACCGGCCAAGAGCAAGGGAGCCCGGTTCTGCTACAGACCTAAGGAATCACGTGCTCTGGAAAGTCCAGAAAATGAGGTGGAAGAGTTTTCTTTGAATTTTCACACCTCTTCCTCCCCATCCTCCCCATTCTTTTCTGATATTTGAAATACATTTTTTTTTGCAACCATGAGACACACGCTTGGATATCATAATACATTCAAGGGGATACTTCAAGGGTTCTGTGGCAATGTCGGGTGTCCATGGCTCAAGTTGAACAATAGGTGTATGTTGAGGTGTATGTACATTCAGAGAAACTGCTAGGTGAGATATTCAGCAATTCAGATTTTATGTCAAAATTCTCTCTTAACACCAAACAGTTGGTCTAAAGGATTGACTTGGTGCTGTGTTCCAGGGTTTGTTAATGAGAAATCGAGCATCAGATGCCACAGACTGAGGAACAGGGTTGAAAGTCAACTGCCTCAACTCCCACTTGGAGAATATTCAAAGCTAAATACCTGCCCCCCCCCCCACTAAGCCCAGGGAGAGGAAAGGGATTGGAAGTGACTAGATCTCAACCATCAACCCATTAAAAAGAACAGAAACCAGCACAACACTTACATTTATCGTATCTTGGTTCCAATATTTATTATATGGACAGGTTAGGAATACTAGGATAAATAAGTAACATTTTTCTCTTATGCAAAATTGTAATGATACTACCGAGTAGGTTGAAACACTGAGGATTTCACAGAAACATCAGCATTGAAACAGGCAGTAGCCAGAATCCTCGCAGCCACTGTGAAGGACCTCTCACAGCTGCAGCTGCTCTGGGCCAGATTCCTACAAACATCTGCATGACAAAAACAATGCTATTAACATCCAATAATGCTAAAGCCTAGGCATCCCCTTGCCTCAAACCTGTCTCCACTGAAAGTGGTTTTCAGCTGCAAGTAAAGGAAAATGAAATATTCTTTGGCTCTTCCCACCTAGAAATAACACCGGACCTAAGTCGTTGAGCAGAGTCCTAACCTTTGGAAGGTAGACTTTCTGCTTTCTTCCTGTGACATTATAACTGCGTTTGCAACAGAGGACTTGCCGTGGTGCCCTTGAATTTTGCATTAATGCCTGGGTGCCAAGGGAAGGGAGGCCTTCTCTGTTGGCACAAAACTGCACTGCTGGCCGGCAGAATTCTGTTTTCCTGGAGCTGACAAGCTCCAGGAAACATTTTGTAAGACGCTACACATGGTGATAGCTCCCCCAAACTCTCCGAAACAGATCTGAGGAAAGTCACGACAAAATCACACCAGTGTTGTTGGAACAAACATCAGGAGAGCACAAAGCCCAGTTATAAAACAAACGCCTTGCACGCAGTGTGTCCTGTACATAACAGCGCATTTGCTAGAAGCACAACCCTGGCCATTGCACAACTTTGCGAAATGCCATTCTCACTCCACGCCCCCTACAAGTGACCGGGGCAGTGGCAGCGGAGCAGGCGGCCCCACCCACCCACCCAAGGTACAGACACTTCTTTTGCATGAATCCTGATGGTGGGAGTCCTGGTTTTGGTAGAATCCAGATGAAGGCAGGCAGGACCCTAACCAGGGGCCATCAGGACAACCCAAGAATGGCCATTATGTGAAGGCCTTAATCCTGGAGTTGAGGCAAAAAATGCCCTTGTTCTGGTCCGAAGTCCACTCTGGGGCAGAGTGGAGAGGCCCAGCTGAGTCACTGAGCCCTCCCGCCTCCATGGTTCTTTGCTGCTGGGATTCGAGAGGTGCACAGGAAGTCAGATCTCCAAAGCTGCAGGGTTTTGGATGTAGAAGGACGATTCGATGAGGACTCCCCAGGTGCCCCCAGACCACAGCTGCTTAGCTCTGCAAGGTTCCTTCTTTTATCTGTTGGATAAAAAGGTTTCTCTCATCTTCTGGAGTCCTCCCGTTCTGAGCCCGGACAATGCACGTGGGCCGATGAAGGTTGAGCATGTATATCAAATGCTGCTTCTCGTTCTTGAGCTCCTCAATTTGGGCCTTCAGTTCAGCATTCACACTCTCCAGCTTCTCTGACTCCTGGGGGACAAGCAACAGAGTTGTTAGGAATGGAGCCAAGGTCCAGCAAGGAGGGCATGGCCACAGCATGGCACCTGGGACACATCGGGGCTCATCAAGCTGGGAATGGCCTACAGAGGAGTGCTGTGGGCCCCACGTTAGAGTGCCCCACAAAACCGGGATGGCAGCATTAGGTTTGGGAGAATCCAGACCCTGGAGAAGCCTTTGAACTTGGAGGCTTCTCCAGAGATGCCTTTGAGTTTCCCACTCAAGGTCGAGGTAGGTTGTGACTAATAGTAATGAAGCTGCAGTAAAACCTACAGCTCAGAGAACCCCTTTGCCTGAGTCCAACAGCCCGTGTGCAGGTCCTTGGGAGCTGCAAGGGCCTTGGGGGCTGGGGAGAAATCCAGACTCATGGTGCTTAGGCTTTTGTGAGTCACTCATTTCACAGAGAAGCTCATCTCCCCAGAAGGAATATATAGGGCAACATACAAAATGTCTGAACTCTCACTGGCTCCCTAAAGCCATCAAAAGAAAAACCTTGGGGCTGGTGGTGGGGGGAGGGCCTGTGGAACCTGCGTGGAGACTCTGCCCTGGCCTGTGCACCCCTCGGGGAAGGGACATAATCACCGGAAAGACTGCACCACGGGCCGCCCCGCCTGCCCCAGGTGCCTTTCCCTTCAGGAAGGGGAGCTGGCTGAACGCAGCCAGGAGCTCAGGCTATGGGGCAAGGCAAGGAGAAGGGCTGCAGAGTGAAGGGCTCCCCAGGAACACCAAGAGAGGGTGCCCACTGCTTGTGGATTAAGGAAATAACTTGTTTCAAGAGATTAATTAAAGGCTTTTCATAGTGAGCCAAATGAAAGCTGGCAGCTTCCTTTTCTTAGGAAAATGAGTAAATGAAGCCTCTTTAACTGGGATGACATGTCCTGTAGGCTAGAAGCCGCTGGACGTGTACGGACTGGCAGAGACTGCTGTGGTTTTTACTTCACACACCTGCTTTGTATACATCCCGAGTCACATTCATCCTGCTAACAGTTTCGTTCCCTCCTCATTCAGCCACTGGCATTTAGGCTTCCCAGGTAGATATCCTTCTTGGGAATACACTTCCGGGCAGGGGGCGTTTTAACTCCCCTTCTAATGGCGACAGGGGGTTGGTGGGGAGCAGGCATGAGCGTGAGAGGGAGGGGTGAGAAGGCACTCACCTTTTGTAGACACTCCGTCTTCTCCTTCTTCTTATTTCGGCACTTGGCAGCTGCGATCTTATTTCTTTCCCGTCGCCTCTTTTTCCTTTCATCTTCTTCAGGGGCTACCTATAAAATTCAAGAGGTACGCGCTTAACGGGAGGCAAGAAATGCAACCCGCCTCAAACACGCTGCGCCTTTTATTGCAGCACAAACTGGCAAATCAGGGCAGCCCTAATGCTCAAGGACCTGGAAGGAAGACAGCCCCAGACTTCTGCCTGAAATCTCACGGCCCACATCCACCCTAAGGATGAGTGATGAAAATCAAAGAACTGTTAGTTAAAAAGTATGTGGGCAGTGTTGGTCAATTAAAATTTAGCCGATTTTAAAAATGCATTCGGATCTTGAAATTAAGAGTTTGATATTCAAACTGATAACTATTGGTAATAACAGTAATAATTTAGAGAAGGAAACATACGATTTGGTAAATGTGTCCTTTCCCCTTGAAGTGGGAATGACCTCAAGAACATCACCCAGCCACCCTTTCCCCCAACTCTTCTTTTGATTCAAGACCCAAGGGCAGCCGCATTCAGCACTGTCCTCACCTGGAGCCTCACAGCATCTCCTTCCTGAATTCAGGAGAAGCGTGTGCAGCTCCTGGAGAAGAGGGACCCAAGCCCGTTCCTAGAGCCATCCATTGATTCATCTTCCAATTAAACACTGATCTCCTCTGTGCCCCACTCGGAGACAGCCCCGGGGCTCCTCAGAGAACAAAACTCGGTCCCTGTCTTAGGATCTGGTCCTCTGGAAGTTCACTCTGACCCTGATTTTATCTGAGGACTGATGGGGAATCAGCAAGGTTTGGCTGCTGGACCGGGCTTAGAGGCCAGAGTCCAGCCACGGTGGGCTGAGCGGGTGATGGTTTATGCCGCTAAGATCAGACCTTGCCATGTCACTTATCACTGCTCTGGACAGTGGGAAAGGGTGTGGGAGCCACACCCCAAACCAAAGGGATCCTGGCATGCCATAATCACCTCACGTCCCACTCATCGCTAGTCCTTTTGGATTAAATGACACTGACTTTGCTTGGACTGAGATGGAAGGTCTTGCAATGAAGAGAAATAAAGCCCAAGGGGGAGAGATGATGAGAGAAATTCCCCTTTTCACATCCTGGATCTCGGAACCACACAGGCAGACCTATGGGTTTAGACTAAATTGCCTCTGAATCCCAGCTTCAGCACCTGTGAGACCTGGGCCAAGTTACCATGCCCTGCAGAGCCTCCGTTTCCTCATTTGTAAAACAGGATCAATAATCTCCTCTAATAGAGTTGTGATGAGGTTCAAATTAGTGAATATATATGTAAAATGCTTTGCACAGCATTCAGCTTATTGTCAGTACTAGGTAAGCGTTTAACTTTACCATCAGTGTCTTCATCAAGAACTCACAACTCTGGTATTTCCTTTACAGCCCTACAGGTATTTTTGGATAGGTGGGAGAGGGTTCAGGCTTTTCTCACATGAGGAAGTCCTGGAAAGTGGAGCGAATCTGAGTCACACGCTGGCAGAGATGGAAAAGTCTCTCTAAAGCCCATTTAATTCAATCCCCTCAGTTTACTAATGTGGAAATGAATGCAACCGACAAATAAATACTGATGTATTAGTCATAGTAACAGTGGCCAGTAGTGGTGGTGCCCAGGGATCGCCAGCTCATGGTCGGCAAACCAGGAGGCTACAAAACCTGGATGCGAACCCAAGCCTTTGGCTCTTGTCCTGCGTCCTCTCCTGGTCGCTGCTGCCTCGTTCCCTCCACCAGGTTGCCGTCCCAGAGGTGACTGGGATCCGGGGAACAGGCTCATGCTGCCCAAACACACAGGATGCCTATGGGTTTCACAGGCTCAACGTCTCATTTTAAACTGAGAATTCCAGAAACCAAGAAGACCAGGATAGTCAAGGAGGTCATTCTCTTCCCGGTAGGAAAATCTACTTAAGCTGAGCTAACATCAGTGAACACCGAATAACAGATGGGTTGGGAGTGTTTCCACAAAGCAGCCTGCCTGCTTCTTTCTCTGGAGAACCCTCCGATAGCCTTCCAAAAGCTCTCCTTCCTTCTAATGGGGATCCTACTACTTCCATTGCATCCTGTTATCTCAAGATATTTAATTAGAAAATAAAAATAAAAATTCCCAGAGTGTCCCATGATCCACCCTGCACTGCCCAGTATTGGACTGGGTGCCGATGATCTCTCCTGAGGTTAATGAGCCCCAGCCAATGCCCCTAATGATGCCTTATGGATCTAGCATCACACAGTCACACAGTCGTCCCTGATACCAGTCACTGAGCTATCAGCCAGGTCCTCTGCTAGACCCTTAACAAATGGAATCTCAGTAACCCTTAGATCAGCCCTATAGTGGAGTCATCATTACCCCTATCCCCCTTTATAGAATCATAGAGTCTTAACCAACTTCCTTTAAAACTCAGTTCCTTTTCGGCCAGTTCCACTACTCCTTGCCCAAATGCAATGTCCATGTTAGTTGAGTAAGCCTGACACACTCCCATCTTGCACCCATGTGGAAACGGCCAACAAAATAGCCAAGACCTCAGCTCTGAAGTCCTTGAGCCACCACAGCACCATCAGCAATCACTTCCCAGACTTCTCACCATGTCTGTTACACTCCAGGGGTCTTATAAAACGTTGCCGAGTGGGGAGGAGTACAAGTGTCAGAGACAGAAGTGAACTTGGAACAGAACCTGGTACCAAGGCTGTGAGCATTACACACAGCTGTAAGCATGGCTGGCCGGTCCTTGCTCCACAGACTGGCCACCTGGGTCCTTGCAGTGATGAAAGGAAATACTTGGTGCTTCTTCAAAATGATTAGACATGGAAGGTGATCTCACACAGGCTCATGGCTTTAAGTTACATCCATATGCATACGTCCAACTGTATATCTCGGGACTCCAGACCCACATAGCCCACCGCCTCTTCCACCCTGCCAGTGAGTCATGGAAAAGGATGGACTCCTTTGTGGCCCTACCCAACCCCCTACAACCCCAATCTCAGCAGCATGTGGGCGCTCCATCCTTACAGTTGACCAGGCCAGACATTTTGGAGCCACCCTTGAGTCCTCCTCCACTCGGAGCCATACCCCACGTCCAATCTGTCAGTCAATCAGCTTTACCTTCAAGACAGATCCAGACACCGACCACTTCTCAGCCCCTCATGGCTCCCATGCTGATGCAGACCCTCCTTTGCACACCTGGGTCACTGCGACAGTCTCGTTTCTGCCGTCTGCTTCTGCTCCTGTCCCTACCACCCATGCTTAACATGACAGCCAGGGTGACCGTTTATAACCATAAGACCATGTCACTCCTCTGCTCAGAAACCCTCCCGTGGCTTCCTAACTCACTCTGAGTAAATGGCCATATCTTTATAATAGTCTGTAAGACCCAGTATGATCTGCCCCCCGCCAATTACCTCGGCTCCAACCTCACTCCCAGCCCCACGTGGCCCACCTTGCTACTCCCTGTAGGCACCAAGCACATTCCCCACTCGATGCCCCTGTTCTTGCTCTTTCTCCAGGTACCCAGATGGCCCCGTGCCTCTCCCTCCTTAGAGTCTCTGCTCAAAGGCCATTCTGTCGGTGAAGCATTCCGACCTCCTGATTTTAAACAGCATCCCCACCTCTTTGCTCCACTCTGTTCCCCTTTGCTGCTTTATTTTTCTCCTTTGCCCCCTGTCTCTCACAGTCTGTATTTACTTCTTTTGTGTATTATCTGTCTCTTCCCAGTAGAAAGTAAGATTCCCGAGGGCAGTGGTTGTTTTATTCACGCTGCAGTTCCCTGCCTCAAGCATGCCCAGCACGTGACAGGTGTGCAGGCGTGCAATAAAGAAGCGCTGAAAGGACCGGCGCCAGTGGTGGAACCTACCTGGACTTTCGTGACTGACATCTCGAGAGGTCTGCTGCTGACAGTGACTGACTCCAGTGCAGAGGACATCCGGTGGCAGAGGTGCTTGTTCTGGATGGCGAACCTCAGCTCTTCCTTGACAAAGGGTGTCAAGTTAGCAAAGTCCTCAAACATCAGTGACCCAGGAGGGGACAGGCAGGGGACGATGGCTGAGGCACTGACTTCCGAGGCTGAGACCTGGCCTGGGTGTTGAAGCATCATTTTGCTGAAAGACACATTGAAACCAAACTTTCAGGGATTTGGGGGAATGAGACCAAGTCCCCCCACACCTGCGACCTCCAACCCGAGCCCCCACTCCCAGGGGAAAGTCCCGTCAGCACTTGGCTCTGTTTTGTTTTCACTTCATGCCACCCTCAGCTTGAGTAAAACAGGTTCTTAAAATACACAGCTCAGTGATGTGGATAAAATGCCTAAGTTTATCAGAGGTGGCGTTTCAGACTATTTTGAATTCATAAAAGCATTAGTTTTGGCTGATGTGCATATATGCAAATATAGCCTCAAACAGTTCCGAAAGAGGAAGAACATAAAAAAAAAAAAAGAAGAAGAAACGTGAAACTATTATGCAACCCCATTTCCAGTATCTTTTTCAAAAAGGAACTTGGGAGGCATCTAATATCAAGTTGGATCTGTCAATGAGTGGAAGTAAAGCAAGGAGTGGGGAACCCCTGAGTTTAGCAAATATGTCTCTGATGCTTTTCCCTCGGGAAGTTAGATCCAAGTAACTGAGAGTGAGGGTGGTAACCATAGCAGGTGTGTTTCTTTGAGCCAGTCCTTGGCAGGGGCTGGGGGATGGGAAGTCAGGTCACAAGGGACCAGTAGCCCCTTTGTAAAGCTGAGGTTGGCGAAGCAAAGACCTCAGAATCAAGAAAAGTGAGGGGCTAAGAATTTGGACCATGTCTGGAGGTCTTGTTCAGCCCTGTGCTGCCTGGAGAGGCTTGGTCGGGGTCTAAAGGGGACCTGGGACTGGCTCTGGCACTAAGGAGCAGTGTGACCTGAGCTATCTGAGTCTCAGTCTGCATCTGGCAAATGGCTGAGAGCTTCCGCAGCACTGGGACTGGGTCTCCAGTCGCTCTGGCCCAGAGCCTGGCCCAGTGCCGGGCCCCGGCTGCGGCCAATGCCTGCTGACTGCTACAGATTGCCTGACTGAATACGTGAAATGGGGAAGCGGCCGTCAAAGCAAATGGCTTCTGAGGTCCATCTAACTCCATCATTCTACAGCCAGGGCATGCAGAGAGGCCACAGGAAAACACAGGGTAAAAACAGTAATCATTTCAGGGTCCCAATTTGGAGCAGCCCCCTAGAAATCTCCTTGCCACATACTCCCTCCAGCAGTGGTTGTCCCCACCCCACCCCACCCCCGCCCCCACATCGCCACAGCCAGTTATCCAGGGGCAATGAGTGTGGGGACTGTCAAGGTAGGGGGTCCTCTGGAGCGCCCCTCTCCACCTGGGGACCTGCAGTCTTTAGCCAAGTCCAGCCAGACAGGAAGACCGTTAGCAAATCGCTAACATTTAAGGAGTGCCTCCTTCCTACCAGAAATCTTATGTGCAGTATCTCATTTAATCCTCAGGAGAAATCGGTGAGTTAAGTCCTAGCCCCATTTTATAGATAGGGTAACTGAGGTTTACACTAACTAAATAATTTGCATCAAGCCATAGTTAAGTGTGAAGCAGAATCAGGATTTGGAATCAGGTTTGACGCCAGGTCTCATGGCCTTAACCTATAGAATACAGAATCTTACTGCACATTGCAAAAACAAAAAACAGCAAACTTTTCTTGGGGGGGGGGGCGCTGAGGGGAGAGCAGGCATGGGAGCGGGTGGGAGTCCTGGACTGAAGTGATGGAGAGAGACTAAGCACAGCACCACAGGGAAAACTTGAACTCTAGGTAATGAACTGCTGATTTCTTTAAGTCAGGTGTACACTCAGGCTGCTACCGGCATTCTGGAATATGCATAAGTGGGAATTTCTATCCACAAAATTCCAAGACTGGGGCCAGAAGATCAAGGTTTGAGCCCCTCACAGTCATGTGTCATCATTATACCTCCCAAGGCCTTCTTTCTCCTCTGTAGAGGAAAGCTAATAACAATCACCCTGTTTTCTCGTAGAGTTGTGCAAGGAATTGATGAAATAATACATGAATAAGGCCTGGAAGACATAATGCAGCCAGGAGGTATGCTCTTCCTGAACCTCCCAGGGATCTCTCTCCACAGGGTTAGTTCTCTGACTGAGGTTCTGTGAGGTCCGGGTGGGAGGGGCGCTGGTCACTCACTCTGAGCTCAAACGCTTCTGAATAGAAACACCCTGACCTCTATTTCCCCTTTAAGATCAGAGATACACTGTTGGAGGCAAGTATTCCAGGCCAATGAATGCCACCACTGACTATTCAAAGAAAACCAGGAAATGTATCTAACTGTCTTCCTAAAGCCCTGGGTCATGCATGAGTCAGGACTGATATTCTTCTATCAGTTTAATCCTACAATCTAAGGATGCTGGGAGGGTACTTTTCTCTGGCAGGTGATAAACGCTGACAAATCAGGTTTCTATAGACAGAGGCTTAAGATTCTCCCATACATTCATGTTTTCCCTCCCTTTCCAACTTCATTAAGAATCTAGTAGTTTCAGGAATGGAATTCAGAGCTATCACCGGGCTGGCTGTTGTTTGGAGGACAAGACAGTTCCCCCTTCTACATGGGGGGTTTGAATTCCACAGCAGTTCATTGTAGTTCCATTTCACCACCCTACTAAGTTTATTAATGAGCTCTCAAGGCTTGGGAGTCTGCTGTTTGGGATTTTCTTTTTCTTTCTTTCTTAGTGTAAAATCATCAGTCCTGATGAAAGAAACCGAAGAATGTCAGCAGTGTGGAATGTTTTTTTCTGAAAAGCATTGGGTGGGCTTATTTGGGGACGGAAATGGGTTGTAAAAATGTTAAAAGCCTTTCAGAAAGTAAAGTAGTTGGTATCTGCAGAGCTCTGGGCTTTCCCTGCATTGTGCTAAAGCATAGTTTCTTAAGATGCTTTCTAGTTAGTTCTTTACTCAATTTTCTTAAGGTATTGTCCCTACAAGGAAAATGAAATTAAACCTTCAGACAATTTTTTCCAAAAGTTGAGAATCTCTAACATCCCCCTCACTGAAAAAAGAATATATCTATATCGATATCAATATCTATCTATCTATCTATATCTATTTGGGATTTTCTGAGTTGACTTTCTGCATTGATCTTAAGATTGCCCAGACTTGCTACAAAGAACATTTTGCTTCTGCTTCATTATCTTTGATCAGAAATCATGTCACATCATTGGAAGTTTCATCACTTTCAAGAAAGTGAAACTTACTCGTGTTTCTTTAACTGGAAATTCAGCTCCTAGATTTTATTTCCTAGTAGCTATGAACAATTGCGTTGAATTTTCACTTTTAATTTTCATTTCTTTCCACTAAGCACTGCTCATACGACGTCTTACCGTGGGAGCCAATATTGGTCTTTTGCTAACTTCCTATCTTGGTCTTTCTCCCAACCCACTCAAAGGTTGGAGGTGTAAGGCTGGGCTTCAGGCTCAGAGCCGATGCTTCCAGCCCTGTCACTGCCACTCACAAACTGAGTACCCACCGGCAAGTCACTCATACTTTCCGGGCCTCTGTCTCCTCGTCTGTGAAATGAGACCGATACCGCCTGCCCCCACCCCCACCCCCGTTCACTCACAGGGCTGAGATTCATGAAGGTGTGTTTACACACATCCTGGGTGGTCATTACTACTGTAATTACACTTTCCCCCTTTCAGGTAGAACTCATAACATTATTGTCAATGGCGTTTAGCCCCAGTCATCAGGAATTAATGGAACCCTGAAGAAATTCAAGTCAGGCACAGCTTCTTTTGCACTTTGGTTGACCTCCAGGCTCCTGACACCCCAGGTCAATTCCACCCTTCTATTTGCTGGCCCCAGCTTGTCTCCACTGGTCTTAAGAAATAACTAGTTCTCACTCATGAAACCATTTCTGGTTTCTGTGGTGTCCTGGCTGTGTACTTCCTCCTCCCCAGGGCAGCTAACACTTGAAGCCACTGATCCTGCTCCAAGCCCAGCCAATGTGAAAAAGGAAGAAATCCTTGGCTTTTCCGAATGGGATAGAACACCCAATATTAGAATCATCTAGGTCAGGTCTTCATTTGTAATAGAGTAAAATGAAGTCCATGACGGTAAAGTGACTTGCCCAAGGGCATAAAACTGGTGAGTGGTCCAGCCCAGGCCAAGCTGCTGAGCACCCACCAGCTGCTCATTGTCCTCCATCGCCACCAGAGATCCAAACAACAAGGCAGATGGAGAACAAGCACCGGCCAGGTAGAAAGGGGTCAGCAGTCAAGTAACCTGGTACCCACCACACAGGAGGCTTTGACAGGGCTAAACATGGAAGGAGAACAGAAGAAAGAGAACAAGGGAGAGAAAGGGCCGGGAGGGAGAGAGAGAGAAGGCTGGGGTTAAGACAGGAAAGATAAAGGCTGGGATAGCTGCCACAGGTACTGGACTGGGTGCTGTGTCTTATGCACTCTGTGGGCCTGGAGTGTTACCTGCCACATTATCTCTGAAACCAGCCGGACAGTAACAACTGCAAAACCCACCCCCACCCCAGTCTTTGTCTGGAACTATATGTTGTAGCATTATTCTACAACAAATGCTAAATGCAAAACAAGGGGACAGTAATATCAATTTCTCCTTCATTTAAAGTTGGGGAGACAGGGGCCCCAAACAGATGTGACTGTCACCCACACCGAAACAGGCGCCTTGGGAGGTGTGGCAGGCAGCACTATAGGCTCCCAGTATGGGCCATGGCACCTGCCGCGGCAGCCCCCCCCTTTTTTTGGGGCTCCATTAGGGTTTAACAACTCCTTTACTTGTAAGGAACCATATGTGATCTAGGCAATGAAATTAAAGAAAGTGCTTAGGAGGAAAGAAAATAAGTAGATGAGGTGAAAATGGGGTATGGGGAGCAGAGAAGGAGAACCAATCCAATGGAAAGTTGGGAACGGAAGAGGTGCCCACATTGAAGTCCCCTTTCCCCCGCTGCCTCAGAGGCTAGTCAGTGACATTAGATAGAAACCCTCCTCAGTTAAGATTCAAGTCCCCTCACTGGTCCCTTTGCTTTCAATTACACCACTCTAGAATCTGAAAACCTTCTGACCCATACAAGACCTTAACGCTTATCTGGTCCAACCACCACCTCGTGACGGCAAACCGGCAGAGGAGCCAGTCAATAGTGCCTATGTGCCCACATTTTCCAGCCAGGGATACTGAGGCTCAAGGACTTCAAGTGTAGTATATGCTCTCAGGGTCCTGACTACTAGACCATAAAGCCATTCTCTCAATTATCTGAACTGGCTTCCCACCTTTGCTTCCCCCACAGCGGGTCTCCATGCACCAAAAGCAGAGAAATCCGCGAACGCGCCAGAGGAAGACGAGCCAGAATCACAGATAAAGAGAGAAAAGCGTGAGAGACTTGGGACAAGAAATCTCAGGCCCAGGAGTCCAAAACCAGCCTGTGCCGGAGCCCTCTACGTCTTCCGCCTCAAGACAGCTAGCTACGCGAGCGCTGGCCACTTCTAAACTTATCCCAACGAACTTTTTCGCGCCCGGCTCCCTGCGCTGTCCTGCTGCCGGGCGCTCCCGGGTGCGCAGGGCGACTCCCAGCGGCCGCTCCCGTGGTCCGGGTTCGCCTGTCCAGTCCCCATTCATTCCGTCCGGCCCCTGGGACAGCCCTTCGGCGAGCCCCCAGCCTCCGCGCCCCTCTGCGGGACCTCGGGAAGGCTGGGCTCAGCAGTGGTAGTGCCCCGGCACCAGGCGAGGGATGGACCGGACAGCGAGCAGGAGGGAGAGCCTCGGACATCCCCGCGCACCCACCTTCCCACGCCCGCTCCCAGCGGGGTAAGAAAGAGATGAGGGCGGAGAGGAGCAGTGTTCCCAGCCCGGCAGAGAAGCGGGAGCCCCACCTCTCCGTCACCAGGAACCTTTCGCGCCCCAAGTCAAAAGAGAAAGTGAGTTCTTTGCGAAAAACTTTCTGAAGCTCCGAGAAACAGCGGTGGCTGGGAAATATTGAGCCAGAGTTCTTTCCAAGCAGGAAGCTGGGAACCTGGGTCGGGGGTGGGCGCAGGGGTCTCGGGACTGGTTACTAGC